GGCAGTGTATACCAGTGGCGGTCAGTGCTGTTTATGATGACGGAAAGGACGATTTTTAAAAAAATGAGCATGGCCTTATTTCTATTACAGCATGTTGGATGACTGTCATTCATATTCCATTCATCCAGTTCAATGTAACATCGATAGGTTTAGGCAACTACATGATACTCGAATTTTCCCTGTACCCATCATGAAGTTGCTACAACCTAGCCTATGAATTAAAGTTTACAACGTAGGTGCACACAGGTCGAGAGAAAAATTGAGAGGTGACCGACAGTAACATTTAATCCCGCCTTGCACACTCTGGCCTGCATCTAGCTGATCTAGGGTGTAATCATTAGTCCAACAGTTGCAAACAAGAGTTTCTATTGGACAAATTCAGGTATTTTTATCCCTGTTTAATTTGCTTCCATTTAAGAAATGTTTTTCAACAGAATCGGTGGAATGAATACACCCCTGATCACACATAAACTCAGTTCACTTTCATAGCAGCCATGTTGTATTCATTCTAGCCTCTATGCACTCTCCTCCTCTCACCTTTTTTCCTTCGTTTGTGAAGAACACATCAGCTGTATGTGACCAGGCGAAAAAACCTTTCCAAGCCAAACCATGTCAGAACCACTACACACAGCCTACATTGTTGTCCCCATATTAGCTAAACTAACGTCCTAGTCAACATAGCTAATAGAACTAATGCGTTATTAAACCCGCTACAATCATGCAGTAACGCTAAAGTGTATAGTCAGTAAGCAGTTACACCGGCGGGCCCCGGTGGCAATAAATTAATAAAACCAAAAGCTTACCTTGACTTGGAAGAGTTCCAGTGTTGTGTTGGATAGTCATAGCCAGCTAGCTAACATAGCATCCCTCTGTTTGAGCCGGGTGTTTGAGTAACTAAACTAGCCAGCTGCATTTGCTAGCTAAGTAAGTGAAACTGAAAGTGAAAGAAAATGACAGTAGAATGGCCCTTACTGAAGAGCTCAGTGACTTTCAACGTGGCACCGTCATAGGATGCTACCTTTCCAACAAGTCCGTCAAATTTCTGCCCTGCTAGAGCTGCCCTGGTCAACTGTAAGTGCTGCTATTTTGAAGTGGAAATGTCTAGTAGCAACAACGGCTCAACCGCAAAGTGGTAGGCCACACAAGCTCACAGAACGGGACCGCCAATTGCTGAAGCACATAGCATGTAAAAATCGTCTGTCCTCAGTTGCAACACTCACTACCGAATTCCAAACTGCCTCTGCAAGCAACGTCAGCACAAGAACTGTTCGTCGGGAGCGTCATGAAATTGGTTTCCATGGCCGAGCAGCCGCACAAAAGCCTAAGATCTCCATGCGCAATGCCAAGTGTCGGCTGGAGTGGTGTAAAGCTCGCCGCCATTGGACTCTGGAGCAGTGAAAACCCGTTCTCTGGAGTGATGAATCACGCTTCACCATCTGGCAGTCCGACCGACGAATCTGGATTTGGAGGATGCCAGGAGAACGCTACCTGCTCGAATGCATAGTGCCAACTGTAAAGTTTGGTGGAGGAGGAATAATGAACTGGAGCTGTTTTTCATGGTTCGGGCTCCTTAGTTCCAGTGAAGGGAAATCTTAACGCTACAGCATTCAATGACATTCTAGACGATTCTGTGATTCCAACTTTGTGGCAACAGTTTGGGGAAGGCCCTTTCCTGTTTCAGCATTACAATACTCCCGTGCACAAAGTAACGTCCATACAGAAATGGTTTGTCGAGATCGGTGTGGAAGAACATGACTGTCCTGCACAGAGCCCTGACCTCAACCCCATCGAACACCTTTGAGATGAATTGGAACGCCGACTGCGAGCCAGGCCTAATCGCCCAACATCAGTGCCTGACCTCACTAATGCTCTTGTGGCATCAGTCCCCGCAGCAATGTTCCAACATCTAGTGGAAAGCCTTCCCAGAAGAGTGGAGGCTGTTATAGCAGCAAAAGGGGGGGACCAACTCCATATTAATGCCCATGATTTTGGAATTAGATGTTCGATGAGCAGGTGTCCACATACTTTTGGTCATGTAGTGTACATAACAGCTGTTTAAAGAAAATAATGTTTGCATGATTTGGTCAAAATAAGCATCTTACTTTGGTACTGGACGTTCCTTTGGATAGAATGATCAAGGTCTTGTCATTGTGTTGTTCCAGTGGAACAGAGTAAAACTTCCATGTGTTTTTGGGGATCTGATACGAAGTGCATTTGCATAGACAGTGACATAGTAGTTGATACTATCTAATATACACTGTAGATTGATTCAGCTCCAGATCTGTTATTGATTTGCATGTTATATAATTTCAGCTGCTCCTTGTGAAGTCAAGGACAGTCCCTTTGATAGTCTTTGTCTTCAGGCTATCTAGTTTCAACGTTATGTAAATCTAGACACACACACAAAGGCCTGAGGTTTTTTTGGTGAGGGAGAGAGCGAGCGAGCGAGAGAGAGAACTCATATTCTCTGTTCTGTGTGATGTGACAGTCGGTCCCAGTGACTGAGCAGCTTTTACGTGAATCCCAAATGACACCCTATTCCCTATATAGTGCACTACTTTTGAACAGGCCCCCCCCCCCCCCCCCTTAGGTCAAAAGTAGTGCACTATGTAGGGAATAGGGTACCATTTGGGATGAAGCTTAAGAGCGGGTGTCTGAGATAGTCCCATTAAAATCCACTCAATAATGAGAACATTATTTACTGAGCTTACTCTCACACAGCTTGGCGAGGAGACCAACGTGCTGTCACCAAATAAAGCCTGAAGTATTTGAGGATAACTCTGTCGTTTTTTTTTTCTCCAGCCTTACTTAGGCTCGGAAGAGTATCAGGAATGGAAGAGGACAGTTGAATGCATGGATGATCCACTCCTGCGTCACATTCATTAACCATTGGTGGATCAACCAATCTAGAAAATGTAATCAGGGTTCAACAAATTAAAGTCGTCTCACAACCTGCCAAGGCTCTGTCACCTGCCAAGGTAAAGCTGTCGTAATCAACGACGTAACATTATTTAACTTACAGATGTCTGCTTATACGATCACCTACCCACTACCTAAATGATCCTGTGTGTTATAACAGTTGTGAGGTTGTCATAAGCTCTGTCAACTCTCTCTTGGCATTTGTTGTGGCAGGTGTGCAAACAGGTTAAGGTGAAATATTGCTCAACCGAGGTCTGGTATACCTAGCATCAAATCAAATCATATTTGAGATGAGTAGTGCAAGATATGTAAACATTATTAAAAGTGTCTCAGCATCTGCAGACAGCCAGCCACAACAAATGAAATGACTTCAGATCCTCCGGATGGCGATTGCCTCCTTTATAAAACATCTGCTCCCGTGTTCACAAAGCTTCCTAGAGTAGGAGTGCTGATCCAGAATCAGCCCTTGCCTCCTCTCCATGTAGTCTTATTCATTGTGATCTAAAAAGGCGAAACTGATCCTACCAAACTCCTAGTATGAGACACTTTAATGAATCCCAGAAACAACAAGAGCTCTGACATGTGACTTCAGATCATCTGGTGGAGATTTCCTTAGTCTAAACCTATGGATACACAAACTGCTTCCTGGTTGGAACCAAAAGCGTACGTGTGATGATCAGCTTTCTATCCCATGACTAGAAAGACAAGGCCTTGCATGCACAATAACAGAAAGGATCGAAACAGAATCAGTGGAGCCAGAAAGAAATTAGACAAAGAAAGAAAGTAATGTCCTCAACATAACTTTAGTCATTCACAAACAAACAAAGAAAGTAATGTCCTCAAAATAACTTTAGTCATTCACAAACGAAGAAAGAAAGTAATGTTCTCAACATAACTTTAGTCATTCACAAACAAGGCCAACGTGACAAAACTTTTACATGCATTTTCATGAACATCAAATGTTACAAAAGCAAATAATAAAACATACACAATGAAAGCAACTTAATGAATAAAGTCTCAAGGGGTCTCTCATCCATAAATGATTGGAAAAAAACCTCACTCACACGCACATACAATCATTCAGATGTTTTCATATATATGAATACAAGCAATGGTGGTCAGAAGAAGCCATACTGTTATGCTGTACAAATACCTGGATGTAAATTTGCAAAATTTGCTAACAAAACATAATATCCTCATACCTAATAATTAGTTAAATGTAATCAACAAGTTATAGATCAGTAAATGTAATCAACGAGTTATAGATCAGTAATGGTGCGTATTAACCTCCTGTGAAACCTTCATCCCTTACTTATCATGTCATGACAAAAATAACATTTGATTTGCGAAAAACAGTCAAGGACAAGACAGTCAAGTGGCGTGCCTCCCTAAAACCCAACCGCCTCTCGTTATAAATAAGATATTGTGCCAATAAAGGAATAAAAATGTTCATTTTTATCTAAATCAAAAGTACGTCAAACACTAGGCCTACTCTACAATAAAGTAATTTGTGTGTGATTGTTGCACTGCAGTTCCCCACATCCAAACTGTTGTCCTGATGAAACAAGTTGTCCTGATGAAAAACAAGTTGGCCTGATGAAACAAGTTGTCCTGATGAAACAAGTTGTCCTTTGACAAGAAAACAACATTCATAAAAGCAACTAACTTTGTGTGTTTAAGGTCCATAGCAACTGACTGTGTATACGGTCCATAGCAACTGACTGTGTATACGGTCCATAGCAACTGACTGTGTATACGGTCCATAGCAACTGACTGTGTATACGGTCCATAGCAACTGACTGTGTATACGGTCCATAGCAACTGACTGTGTATACGGTCCATAACAGTCTGAATGTGTGTACTGTCATGTAGAAAGTCCACAGCAACTGACTGACTGTGTCTATATAAGGTCAGTAACAACTGTATAACTCTGTGTATTGTATAATATCCATAGCAACTGACTGACTGTGTGTATTGTATAATATCCATAGCAACTGACTGACTGTGTGTATAAGGTCCACAGCAACCCTACTGTATGTAGGAGGTCCATCATAACAGTCTTGGGAGCACCTTTCCTTCTGTTAGTACTTGTTGTGCCACTCACACTGCCCCACACTCACCTCCTCCATGTCCAAGTTTTTCCTGGATTTGTAAATGAACTCGCCAATAGCTACAAACACAGAGAGAACCAGTCCGGCCGCTAGCACTATGAAAATACCACCGATGTTCTCCACTCCCAAGGCGCTGGCCTCCTTACTGTCCTCCTCAGGACAACCGTTCCCTCGCCACCACTTCTCCTTCATCATGTGGAGCTTCCCTTCTTCCTGGAGCTGCAGGATGGCGATGGTCACCTTGTCTCTGTAGGGGGAGCCTGGGGGGGTAGATGAGGGGGGGGGGGTGAGATCTTAGTGTTAGAGCTAAATGTAGTGAAGATTATCAGGCCATAAGGTAAAACATAGGTCACAAATGAGCAACATTGCCCTACAAATTAGCTACGTAGGCACATCATCAGCATGAAGTGAATAACGTTGGTGCATATCTGGTGACTGACGGACAGCATGAGCGAGTGGTTCTAGGTAGAAAAACAGCAAAGGGGAGAGAGAGGGCAGCCTTGACGTGTTTCCTCTAGCATGTCCGCACTCAGATGTGATAGGGGACGGTAATTCACACAAAGTGTTTTTTTTTTCCCCCCTGTGTCCACGGTTCTTACCTATGGGAGTGCCTACACCGTAGCCCTTGGAGTCTATGAGGCCTCCGATCTGCGTGAGGTTACAGTTCCTCTGGCTGATGTACTCTATGCTGGTGGACTCCATGAGGAGAGCGTAGTCTGTGGTCATAACTCTCTGGATCCCCTCCCTGTTGTTCTTCACCAGAGCTGTGTTCTTCCTGCTGCTCATGAACGCCCACATCTTCTCATAGGTGGAGATCTTGGATTTCTAATGGACAAACAACGACGACAACGCATTGTTTCCTTTTTAAAAACAGCAATAATAACAGGCACATGTTTTATTGGTGGAGATTAGATTTCTGAGGAAAAGTAAAAAAGGGGAGAATTTTAATGCCAAAATCGTCAATTCAATGCAGATTCACAGGAATAACTGAACAACAGACTTTTACAGCCATTTCAGATGTATTAATATAAAGTGCATTACCCCATATTGCTGGGTCTGTTGATATTTTACACAGTGTTGATATTAGTGGTCAGCATCAGACAGCACTAACATATTGGACAGAAATGTTTTTGTTTCACACGGTTATGGAAACATCTGTCCAGTTGCTTAGAGAAAATCTAAAAGTATCTATGTAAAGTGCATGACCCCACATTAATCCATTTATTGATATTAGTACACAATGATGATATCACATGTCAGTATTAAAATCTGGCATATTGGACAGAGATGTGTTATTTTAGACTGGTGGAATATTAAATATGTCTGATTACAGAACGTATGGTTACACTGCTATGGACAGGCAAATGTCCAGTTGTTTATGAGAAAATCCCTTCTCTGATATCAAAGTATCTATATAAAGTGCATTGCTCCACATTGCTGGATTTGTTACTGTACACAGTGTTCATATTAAAAACATATTAGACAGAGATATATTGTTTCACACTGGTGTGGAAACGCCTGTTCAGTTGCTTATAGTGAAGCCTAAATTCCTGCCTGTATTTCCCTTCCTCCAATCATCTGGGCAAGCGTGACAGCTGTGTTTAAATCTCTCTCTGTTGATTAAATCTGCTCTATGCATCCAGAGGTCCTACTGTAGGCAGGCTAAGAAATATAGGGAAGTCATCACCCAGAGGTCCTACAGTAAGCTGGCTAGGAGATATAGGGGAAGTCATCACCCAGAGGTCCTACAATAAGCTGGCTAGGAGATATAGGGGAAGTCATCACCCAGAGGTCCTACAGTAAGCTGGCTAGGAGATACTGTATAGGGGAAGTCATCACCCAGAGGTCCTACTGTAGTCTGGCTAGGAGATATAGGGGAAGTCATCACCCAGAGTTCCTACTGTAGGCTAGCTAGGAGATATAGGGGAAGTCATCACCCATAGGTCCTACTGTAGGCTAGCTAGGAGATATAGGGGAAGTCATCACCCAGAGGTCCTATTGTAGTCTGGCTAGGAGATATAGGGGAAGTCATCACCCAGAGGTCCTACAGTAAGCTGGCTAGGAGATATAGGGGAAGTCATCACCCAGAGGTCCCACAGCAGGAGATATAGGGGAAGTCATCACCCAGAGGTCCTACAGTAAGCTGGCTAGGAGATATAGGGGAAGTCATCACCCAGAGGTCCTACAGTAAGCTGGCTAGGAGACATAGGGGAAGTCATCACCCAGAGGTCCTACTGTAGGCTAGCTAGGAGATATAGGGGAAGTCATCACCCAGAGGTCCTACTGTAAGCTGGCTAGGAGATATAGGGGAAGTCATCACCCAGAGGTCCCACAGCAGGAGATATAGGGGAAGTCATCACCCAGAGGTCCTACAGTAGTCTGGCTAGGAGATATAGGGGAAGTCATCACCCAGAGGTCCTACAGTAGTCTGGCTAGGAGATATAGGGGAAGTCATCACCCAGAGGTCCTACAGTAGTCTGGCTAGGAGATATAGGGGAAGTCATCACCCAGAGGTCCTACTGTAGGCTAGCTAGGAGATATAGGGGAAGTCATCACCCAGAGGTCCTACTGTAAGCTGGCTAGGAGATATAGGGGAAGTCATCACCCAGAGGTCCTACAGTAAGCTAGCTAGGAGATATAGGGGAAGTCATCACCCAGAGGTCCTACAGTAAGCTGGCTAGGAGATATAGGGGAAGTCATCACCCAGAGGTCCTACAGTAAGCTAGCTAGGAGATATAGGGGAAGTCATCACCCAGAGGTCCTACAGTAAGCTGGCTAGGAGATATAGGGGAAGTCATCACCCAGAGGTCCCACAGCAGGAGATATAGGGGAAGTCATCACCCAGAGGTCCTACAGTAAGCTGGCTAGGATATATAGGGGAAGTCATCACCCAGAGGTCCTACAGTAAGCTAGCTAGGAGATATAGGGGAAGTCATCACCCAGAGGTCCTACAGTAAGCTGGCTAGGAGATATAGGGGAAGTCATCACCCAGAGGTCCTACAGTAAGCTGGCTAGGAGATATAGGGGAAGTCATCACCCAGAGGTCCTACTGTAGGCTAGCTAGGAGATATAGGGGAAGTCATCACCCAGAGGTCCCACAGCAGGAGATATAGGGGAAGTCATCACCCAGAGGTCCCACAGCAGGAGATATAGGGGAAGTCATCACCCAGAGGTCCCACAGCAGGAGATATAGGGGAAGTCATCACCCAGAGGTCCTACAGTAGTCTGGCTAGGAGATATAGGGAAGTCATCACCCAGAGGTCCTACTGTAGGCTAGCTAGGAGATATAATGGAAGTCATCACCCAGAGGTCCTATAGTAAGCTGGCTAGGAGACACAGTGCCATTAGGGACGCAACCTCACTTTCTCTCTCCTTCCCCCTCCCTCTTTTCTGATTAAATTATATATTTATTTTTTTAACATCCATTCTCACGTTTCAGCCTTGCAGACAGACAGGCGAGGCACATGTAAAGTATTACAATCATATGTTAAGATTCATGGTTCAAAAACAATCTCCTGTCAAGGCATCAAGGACAAACAATTGTGAGATGATAGACGGATGCTCGTCTCTTTGCAATATGATGTCTCTCGCTATACTGTCGTGTCATATTGCATACGTTCATCTTCTCAGTTCTATCAAGAGGACCAATAGCCAGGGGATGTGCTCAGAGAGAGAGAAAGGTAGAGAGAGAGAGAGAGATTGTAGTTGTTAGAGAGCGTCCGTCCGTCCGTCTGTCTGTCTCTCCATGCCTGTGTGCCTGTGTCCGTGTGTCCGTGTGTCCGTGTGTCCGTGTGTCCGTGTGTCCGTGTGTGCGTGTGTCCGTGTGTGCCGTGTGTCCGTGTGTCCGTGTGTCCGTGTGTCCGTGTGTGCGTGTGTCCGTGTGTCCGTGTGTGCGTGTGTCCGTGTGTGCGTGTGTCCGTGTGTGCGTGTGTCCGTGTGTCCGTGTGTCCGTGTGTGCGTGTGTCCGTGTGTCCGTGTGCCCGTGTGCCCGTGTGTCCGTGTGTCCGTGTGTCCGTGTGTCCGTGTGTCCGTGTGTCCGTGTGTCCGTGTGTCCGTGTGTCCGTGTGTCCGTGTGTGCGTGTGTCCGTGTGTGCGTGTGTGCGTGTGTCCGTGTGTATACCTTGAAGAAGGTCATGGTGGATCCATCTCTCACAGCTCCGTACTCTATCTTGGTCTGCTTGGCCAGGTCGTCAGCCGAGTCGATGGGGGAGTCCATCCTCTCCACAGTGAGGAACGCGGCCAGGTTGGCCGTGTAGGACGAGATGATGATCAGGGTGAAGAACCACCAGATGCCTCCTACTATCCTCGTCGACAGGGCTTTAGGCATCAGCTCAGATCCTGTTGTGTGAGAACCCAATAACACAGACAGGTTAGGAGAGTCCATTCCTATTTGTAGACTCTCCTGAGATGATAAGAATTTGTCTGAAAGACAACAAAAAAATCTGTGCGCTCTCGGATAGTATTGAGTTCACATGGTGCTCTTCGGTTTCCCAGGCTTGTAGCATTAACCAAAATCCTTTAACAATTTGTCTGATACCAGATATCTGAGAAAATGTCGAATTGAAGAAAAAAACTGACTTAAATTGCTCTCGCTAATTTTCCCACCCATATGAACAACCTTGGCTTTTCATTCTTTGCAGTACATAGGAGGGAGACAGTGGTATGAGGGTAGTATAAGGGCACATTCATGAATCCTTAGTCTTGTTACTGACAGCTGTACCTTCCTGCATTAGTGGGCTAAAAGAGATACAAACAGCTGTACCTTCCTGCATCAGTGGGCTAAAAGAGATACAAACAGCTGTACCTTCCTGCATTAGTGGGCTAAAAGAGATACAAACAGCTGTACCTTCCTGCATCAGTGGGCTAAAAGAGATACAAACAGCTGTATCTTCCTGCATCAGTGAGCTAAAAGAGATACAAACAGCTGTACCTTCCTGCATCAGATGGCTAAAAGAGATACAGACAGCTGTACCTTCCTGCATTAGTGGGCTAAAAGAGATACAAACAGCTGTACCTTCCTGCATTAGTGGGCTAAAAGAGATACAGACAGATAGCTGTACCTTCCTGCATCAGTGGGCTAAAAGAGATACAGACAGATAGCTGCACCTTCCTGCATTAGTGGGCTAAAAGAGATACAGACAGATAGCTGTACCTTGATGCATTAGTGGGCTAAAAGAGATACAGACAGATAGCTGTACCTTGCTGCATCAGAGCTCCCACCCCAAACCAGACGGAGTTGATGAGAGTGAAGTTGTTCTCCACCACGTCAGAGTCAGGGTTACAGGGGTGAGGGTTGTACCACTCGTAGGGGGTAAACCTACACACACACAGGAAAAGGGCAGTTAAACAATAACAATGGATGTGTCCCAAATGGCACCCTATTCCCTTTAGTGCACTACATTTGACCATGGGCCCTGGTCAAAAGTAGTGCGCTGCATATGGAATAGGGTGCCATTTGGGACACACACAATGAAAACATAACGTAATTGAGTACAGCCTCACCGCTACCAGCTAGTTTTTCTGTATTGTGCCGCCACCCTAAAATCTAGATCCCAATGATTTTGAGTCGCTTTGGATAAGAGTGTCTGCTAAATGACAGAAATGTAAATGCAAATGCAATTAAAGTACAGAATAAGCCAAATTAAATTTGTTTTGGCTCCCATTTGCTGTTTGAAACTCCAACATTCTGTTGTAAAGTGGTGTTGGTCCCCTCTACATTCTGTTGTAAAGTGGTGTTGGTTCCCTCTACATTCTGTTGTAAAGTGGTGTTGGTCCCCTCTACATTCTGTTGTAAAGTGGTGTTGGTTCCCTCTACATTCTGTTGTAAAGTGGTGTTGGTCCCCTCTACATTCTGTTGTAAAGTGGTGTTGGTCCCCTCTACATTCTGTTGTAAAGTGGTGTTGGTCCCCTCTACATTCTGTTGTAAAGTGGTGTTGGTCCCCTCTACATTCTGTTGTAAAGTGGTGTTGGTCCTGCAAAGCTCCACAGCGGAGATTGGAGTATCTGTCCATAGGACCACTTTAAAATAAGCAACAACGATACACGTTTGGTGTTCACCAAAAGGCATGTGGGAGAAGGTACTCTGGTCAGATGAGACTAAAATTGAGCTTTTTGGCCATCAAGGAAAACGCTATGTCTGGCTCAAACCCAACACCTCTCATCACCCTGAGAACACCATCCTCACAGTGAAGCATGGTGGTGGCAGCATCATGCTGTGGGGATGTTTTTCATTGGCAGGGACTGAGAAACTGGTCAGAATTGAAGGAATGATGGATGGCGCTAAATACAGGAAAATTCTTCAGGGAAACCTGTTTCAGTCTTCCAGAGATTTAAGACTGGGATGGAGGTTCACCTTCCAGCAGGACAATGACCCTAAGCATAATGCTAAAGCAACACTAGAGTGGTTTAAGGGGAAACATTTAAATGTCTTGGAATGGCCTAGTCAAAGCCCAGACCTCAATCCAATTGAGAATCTGTGGTATGACTTTGCTGTACACTAGCGGAACCCAACCAACTTGAAGGAGCTGGAGCAGTTTTGCCTTGAAGAATGGGCTAGATGTGCCAAGCTTATAGAGACATACCCCAAGAGACTTGCAGCTGTAATTGCCGCAAAAGGTGGCTCTACAAAGTATTGACTTTGGGGGGGGGTGAATAGTTATGCTCCCTCAAGTTTTCAGTTTTTTTGTCTTATTTCTTGTTTGTTTCACAATAAAAAATATTTTGCATCGTCAATGTGGTAGGCATGTTGTGTAAATCAAATGATACAAACCCCCCCAAAAATCCATTTTAATTACATGTTGTAAGGCAACAAAATAGTAAAAATGCCAAGGGGGGTGAATACTTTCGCAAGCCACTGTAGTTTGACTAA